CTGTGATAAAGGAAAAAATGATAAACTCATGAGTGTTCTCAGTCTTTACTCTTCCCCTGACATCTAAAGATTATTCTAGTTTTGCCATTTCAGTTATCCTCTCCCCCTACCCACTTTAGAGGTTATGTTTGGTTGCTAGGTTGCGCAGTCCTGGAGACATTGTGATGTAGAGTCACAAGAACTCTGTAAGAGGTATAAATGTACAGGTAGTGAAGAGAAGAAAGTCAGGAAAACAGGCTGGGCTTATTGAAGCAGAGCTTCTGGAGGAATTTGTAATACTGAAAATGGAGAAGAAGGGTGAGTGGAAAATCTACAGGAGTGTATAAAAGCTCTTAGTCTGTGTATCCTTTTCATACTGCTTAAGTTATTTTGAAATTAGCTTTTTTTTTTCTTCATTAACATTCTTTGATAGAGACATTACTCTGATATTTGTACCTCTGGGTCAGAGTATCAATATGTTCACATGTGATTCTGTGAATATGTTTAATAGGGTGAAAAGTACATGATTTCATTGGGTACTAAACTCATTAAGTGACAAAAAGGTTTTGAAAGTACAAATATCAAATTTTGAATGGACAGGAGAGATTGAGTTCTCTCACATCCAGGAGTAGAGACACGTTGAGAGGTTTCTGAAAAAGTACATGGGGTTCAGAAGATGTATCCTAGTTGATTACTTTTATCTAAAATGAACTTTTTCATTAAAGAATCTGGCAATTAAACATGCATAGAAATCTTGACAGAACTGATGAGAATCATCAAAATTTGGTGTAAATATGTATTTTTTAAAATTTGATGAATCACACATCCTTCCTAGTATCTGATGGCATTGGAGGACAAAGTTTCACTAGAATATAAAAGGGTTCTTCTCAATTTGGTGACTAATTGAGACTTATTTATAAAGGTTCAAAATAGTTGAGTTTATTTCAAACTCTATATAGTTTTTAACTGTCAGCAGGCTATGTATGTAAAAATCTGAATAAGAGGAGAGAATATTTGAGAATACCAACATGAGCATTGATAGTGTGTGTTTTATATTATTCAAAAATATATAAGCTTTTAGGATTTGACTGTACTATTGTGCTTCCTTCATGACTCAATTACCAATTCAAAAGTTATTTTACTTTATGAATTTTAAAAATTATAATTTTAGAAGCTAATAAGCATATCTACATTTATCTTTGAGAAACACAACAATTTGGAGGCTTTTTTCTAAAAATTAGTGTTTACTTTCAATAAATGTGATATAATACAATAAATCATTTAGATGTGTAAAAAAATGAATCAGTAAAAGCAAAACCCTCTTTGACTCAAAGGTCGAGTAGCTCTTTCTTTTTCCTTGAAATTATGAGCTCAATTATTCAATGACATTATTTCTATGTGTGGATAACAATGTCATTTGAATTGGGGACATTTGGCAAGTGGAAAATTAAATAAAAATAATCTAAAATTGATTAAGCATTTAAGTTTTAGAGGTCAACAGGTAGTACTGAGCATTTATACTACTTTTTCTTGGATCATCAGGTGAACTGTTTTAACTGAAATAACAGACCAATTTAATCAAAGATACAATCAAGTTCACAGATAAAGCTATAAAACAACTGATTTCTCTATTATTCTTGCCAAAAATGGTGGTTCAATTGAATTGTATGCAAAAATTGATATTAGTTTTCTAAGATTTCTATTTTTAATGAGAAATAAAGATGCCTTTTAAATATGACTTTAAATGTACCATTCAACTTGAAGTTTTTCTTTTCAGTGTGAGTGTATGCTTGCCTGAAACATTGGTATTTCCATTAATCATATTACATTTGCTAAATCTTCCTCAATAAATAGGGTTTTAAATCTTACTAAAACATTTTAAAGAAAAATATATGTGCACATTTGCTTAAAGGATACTGGAATGATTTTCCCTAAAAATATTATGTACTCATATATCATATATGAAATAACATGATTGAGTACATTTTAAGAAGGAATTACAGAATAAGAACAGTAATAAAATTGTTAATAAACTACTATATGAAATATCATTCATAAAGTCTGTGAGGAAAATTAATTCAAAATTACTTTTGTGGAAACTTTAATAAATATGGAAATTAAACCTCAGAAATTATAATCAGAAGTAAAGATTTATAAGAAGATTATGTTAGTTCCATTGGCCTTTTCAATAAGATGGACTATTTTTTAGGAACACCAAATATAAAGAACAATAAACATAAGAATAGACTAAAAAAACTGAATCATTTAAATAAACATAAACATGCACATTTGTTTAAGTTATTAGAAAATAATAAAATAATTCATATAATTGTTGTTGTTGTTATGTGCTGTGGAGTCAGACCCGACTCATAGCGACCCCTCCTTGGGTTTCCTAGGCAGTATCACTACAGAAGTAGATTGCCCCATCTTCCTTCTGAGGAGTGGCTGGTGGGTTTGAACCATGTAATAGTTATATGAATTATTTTATTAATCAATATAATAATTATATTAATTATGTCATCAATATAATAATTATATGGAATATTTATTAATACAATACTTATTTGGATTGTTTTATTCATATAATTATATTATTGTATTAATATAGCATTCATATCTTTATATAATATTCACAAAGTAATTCATATGGATTTTTCTCAGACATAATTTTTGATATTAAAGGATAAAGTCTAGGATGCTTATTAAAATACCCCTTAGAATTCTTGTGTGGTCCCGATGAGAATTTGTTTTAAGTGTGTAACTATGGCCCTAAGTACTTAGCTATCTGATGTAATTAGTTTGAAGAGGATAACAAGCCTTCATACTCTGTTTTTGAGACAGACATCTTAATAAATTCCAATTGCATGAATACTTATGATACATAAGAGTATATATACATTGTATATGGTATATATCTTACATAAAATGTTACTTCAGAATGTAAAAAAGAACAATAAATATTATGGATGGTATGGGATATAGCAGTAGCTGACCCTACCAATTAGTGAAGCAGGATAGATACTTTACTTGGGAGAAGAAGGCGCAAAATCTGACTGTTCTTAATATATTTTTTGAAAGTATTTTTTTTGTTGTTTTGCTTTCAGATACATCCGACCAAATCTAGAGGGTCACCAGGTACTTCAGTTCCCACTACGTGAACTGTATTTCATCCTTACTGAGACACAGCCAGTCATATTATTCCCAATCTTAGTAAGTTCAACTTGGTTCTTGACATTCTCTAAACCACAGATTCTCTTTATTACCTCACTTTGATTCTATCTCTGATGCTGCTGAGATATTTTGTACATAACTTCTATATTTGCCAATCTTGAATAGATAAAATTTTCTTAGTAAAACTCAGGAATATCCCACAAGTTTGCCTGTGAAGTGAATATATATGAAGGCTCTTAAGAGGACAGTATAGAAAAAAGTAAAATAGAGGATTAAGAAATGAGTGTTAAGTAATACTTTTATTTAAATATTAGGGATAGTTAAAAAAAAAATAAGTCAAAAGAGGCAGAAAGGTCACAAAATATCACATGGTAACAGAAGTCAAGGAATGAAATGCTTAAAAGTAAGAGGAGATGAGAAGTGTCCAGTTTGATGACCTTAGAACAAGCACTAAAGAGTGAAAAATACAGAGTAAAATCTAATTTTCATCATTAGTGTCAGTAAAACAGTTAGAGTCTGAGATAAAAATACTTATACTTGAATTAAGATCTACTTTGGAAAATAATTAAAGCTAAATTATAGGTAAAATGCATATTTATGAACAGAAAAAGTATAATGATTAACATAAAGAAAGTTAAACAAGGGACATAGAGTGAGCTTGTAGATTATCTCTAAAGTCTGCAGTATGAGTAAAGTGTCCATGCCATGCTCTATCTTTAAACTCAGATGACCTACCCAAAAAACTATGCCTAGGTTGGTTATCAAAGCTAGCCATGAGAAATGGAAACCATTTTAGGTAATTTCTCAAGTTTCTGCAGGTTTTTTTCAAGGCGAATGCAAGTATATACCTAGGTATAGTTTGGATAGATCATCTGCGTTAAAACATGGAGAGTGGCATGGGTATTTTACTCATACTGCAGCCTTTAAAGATCCTCCACAACTTGAATGCACCTCACTTCAACTGTTTTGAAGAAACCTTCCAACTGAGATTTTCCTAAGTTACATTATAGAGGGAAAAGGGAAATGTATAGGATTAGGATACATTGAAGATATTTGACCAGGTAGATGACATGACATAATAAATAGATTAGAGGAGAGGGGTAGAAGCAGAGTTTAACTTCATGGAAATCTGGTTTAGTAAAGTAAACATGATGTGATTATCACCTTAATCACTACAAAGCAATGATAATGAAAAGAATATGGTGAATTTAAAGAATTTAAAGAAAATGTACTAAATGAACTCAGAATTTTCCTACCTTCTCCACTCTGCCTTCCTATTTTTCTTCATATAGCTATTGTTTTAAAACATTACATCAAACATAATAATAAAACAAAGGAAGAATTCCAAGGAAAGAATAGCTTGTTCTTCACATAAATTCACCTACTTCATTTTCACATAGTTAATTATTTTTTGAACATACATTCTCATAAAAAATTGCCTTTCAATTTAGTCTCATTTTTAGCTACCAGGCAATTTTGATCTATCTTACTTAATGAAAACACTATTTACTTCATTGTCCAAAATGGAATAATTGGGCTTCCTATCCAGACATTTATAGAATTGCCAGATGACAAATCATGTTATTTAAAGTTTTTATAAGTTCTTGAAGGATGTAGTAAAAACACCTATTTAATAAGAGTCTTACATTTTTCCTTAGTTTTGTCTTTGGCTTATTTTATTTTGTAAGTCTGGAACTCTGATAAAATATTTACATGTGTGAGAAAGTACAAGAGTTTCCTGTTCACATGATTATTGCCAGGACTTAGGAGTTGTTATTATTACTGAATGTTTATGAAATGGCACATTCATCAATTTACTAGACATTTCTTTTTCACAAATAGAATCCAAAATGACTCCACCTGGAGAAGAAGAAAGTGATCCATCTGACAATGCTGTCAGTAATTCTGAAGAAAGTGTTCCAAATGATTCTAATACAGATACAGAACCTTCATTTGCTGATTGCAGCGGGGTCTATCAAGTGGAAACTGACCAAATTGATGGACAGCCAAATACACCAGTCTCTCAGGAGGCGGGTGATCCCCAGGCAACTGAAAATAACGAGTATGAAGTACAGAAGACCAAGAAAGATTCTCAAGAAGAAGATTCCAAAGAAGATCCTCTGCCAATTCTGATCCCCATTCCTAGAAAATTATTTTCTCTCATGTCAGGATTAGGGAGAATTATCTATCTGAATATCCCATTAGGAACAATTGATAACAACAATCCCTTAACCAACAGATCAAAATTTTACTCAGGGAAAGTGGAGATGAAAACAAGTGGTTTCTCTCATACCACCGTAAAGCAAAATATTCATCTCCAACTTTCAGATTCATGGAGAATCCCATTCATTAACAATCAGGATTTAAGAAAAATGATTCTCCGTCTGCTACTTGGGAGAAATATCCCTCAGAAAGGAGGTCATAAAAGTGCCATGCAGAAGAAGCAAAAATATACACCATTTCTTCCTCCCCAATATTCTCTCCCCTGTGTTGAGAGAAGCTTAATATTTGGAAGGCCTATGAGGGTGTATTACCACCTTCCCCTCAGTGAGAGAATGGCATCACAAAAATTTTGCAAACCTAGTTATACTAAACAGAAAACTGAATTCAAAATTTTTGTGAGACCAATGTTTTATGTCCCACAAGTCCAAAGGCGAAACACATTTATCAGGAAAACTTTGGAGGATTCTTTGAGACCTCCTCAAAATATACCAATTGTGATCATAGGAACCAACAATGATTGGAAATACCGCTGTCCTATCTGTGGGAACAGTTTCAACACTTTAGTTGAATTTAGACAGCATTCCTGCAGATTTCCTTGAAATTAAATTAAATTGGGGCAAAATTCATTTTTAAATTTTAATTTCAAAAATTTGTAATTTGACAGCCCCAGTGACAAAATTTAATGAACATTAATTTTAGTAGTATTAGATAGAAATGCAGAAAGGGACACTGACTTTCATTAGTAAGAAACAACTTTGAATTCTGAGAAGAGGTTAAAAAAAAATTAAAAAACTCAAAGGACAATATTTGGCCCTTGACACATCAGCAACTAAACCAGGAAAATGTTTGCCCTTACTTAACATTTATTTCTGCAATTAGAAATATTTTTACCATTAGCAAATTCAAAATTCACAAGATTATGACAAAGATAGCAAACATGTATTGGAGGGCCAGGGAAAGTCTTTCTAAGTGTTTCCAGAAATTCTGCTAAATTTAACACCTGAAGTCTTTTCTTAAATTCAATAAAAAGAATTTTAAAGGCATTCAAAGTTGTATTGTATGCTTACTACTATGTAAAAAAATCTATGCATAGGGGGAAAAAAGGTTCAAGTACTATCAATCAATGCTCTACACTTAGATAATAATTTTGATAATTCAAAATAACAACATCAATAAGCCCATGAAAAGAGATAGCTTGTTACAAGTGGTGAGGTATGAATGAAGAGTGAATTAAAAAAAAAAAAAAAAACTCACTGGCCTCTAGTCGGTCCTGACTCATAGCAACCTCTCCTTGAGTTTTTGAGACAATATCTCCAATGAAGTTGATTGCCCAGTCTTCCTTACAAGGAGTGCCTGGTGGGTTTGAACTGCCAGAACTGGTAATATACGATTGTAATTTTTTTTTCTTGGCTAGCTCCTTCACCATCACCCATCTTCAGCATAACATTTTTTTTCATTTCTTTCATAGACATATGCAAAAATGCTTACATATGTAAGGTTTTCCCTATGTTGCTACTTGCAGCTTATTAACATCTATGTCTTGTCTTTCTTTTAATCTGCATACTTATAATTCAAGATAGACTGTAACATTACATTTCTTTAGGTTGATTCCTATTTATTGTTTACCCAGTATTTTTGAAACACTATGATAGGAACATTGTACTAGCTAATCTTGACAATCTTCTAACAAGAAAGTCTCTAAATATTAAATAACTTGTCCAGTTCATAAAGTAAATGGTGATGTTGTCATCACGTAATAATGTAGGTTTTTGCACATTGTGTCTTATTTTAAAATTATATCTTTATGTATGAAATAGCATATATAATTTATTTAACTCAGATATGCTGTATTATAGGAATTACAAACTTATGAAGAACAGATTAGGCTATGGTTACATTTTAGACATCAAATTTGTTTATCTGAAGGGTCAATTTTGCTACTTCAAGATAAAATTATATAATATGAGCAATTAATTCGATTGCAAAATTAACCTGATTAAGCCAATTCAGGCCCCTAAATCAACTGTTTCTACATTTTTAGAAACACAAACTCCGAACACTCACTGCCATGAAGTCAGATCTGACTCATAGCGACCCCTCCTTGGGTTTCTGAGTTGGTATCACTGCAGAATTGCATTGCCCAGAGTGGCTGGTGGGTTTGAACTGCCAGCCTTCTTGTTAGCAGTCAAATGCCTTAGGCACTAGGCCATCAGAGCTCCCTTTAGAAACATATGTTATTTGAATTTTTATCTCATTTGCATTTGA